TTCTTTTTATTTATTTTTTTTTTACTTTTGATCCACATCTGACCAATCAATAATGGGAGGCATGGGCTTTTTCATACTGTTTGTGTGTACGTATATGTGTGTATTTTGGGGAAATTTGTACTAGCTGTATATAAAGACAAAGAATATAGAAGTCTATGAAATGTTCCTATTTAGATAGCTAAGTGTGTGTGCGTGTTCTGTGGTAGACAAACAAGAATAGTTGATGCATGTTGATGATGCTGATAATTATGTGTACATGATTGCCAGAGATAATAGAAATGTGAGTATAGATGTTTATTTGATTTGGAGAAAGAGGTAATAGTACTGCTGGTAATGAAAATGTGAAAATGATGTTGTGAAAATGATCAATTAGTGTTTGATGATTCAGCAGATGTGTGTTTGTTTCATAATGGGTCTGGTTTCTTTAAAAATCACTCTGTGGTCTTATCTTTCGGTCCCATTCACCATGCCACGTGACTTTAAACACTTCTGCTTCTGATCACCTCTGGGAAAACCACAGCTCGATATTTCCTTACCAGTGATGTTTATCAGTTACCTCTTACGTCCCATTCATGCGTCTGTCATGCCAGTGAGCATGTAGTGCAAGCATGAACAGCAGCAGCACGGCCAATGATAATGATCCTCATTGCTGACTTTCAGACAAACTGTAAGTGATTTATCTGGTCGAACTAAAGGTCATGCATTCTTTCCATTAAAGAAGTTCTCAAAGTCATCCTAAAAAGAGATAAATAGGTTCATCAAAGGACTTTTAAGTAGAAAGGATGGCTGTTTTGTCATTAGAAAAGTGCTTTGTAACAAACAATATTATTAGTTTATATAATATTGTGACAATAAACACTTTAATTAAACATTATGCACAATAAGCTTATTTTTAAGGTTCAACATCATTTGTTTGCAGATGCCACTTGGTTTGATATTTCGTATATAATGCAATGACACATTTTTATGTACAATATGCTATTTGGGGCCACTGTATTCATGTGTCTTTGAGAAATCTATTAATGAAATCAAATTAAACATCTAAACTAATTAAAAAGTAAAATAAATTACTAATGGAATGTAATGCTTATGTGCATTAAAATTCATACGTCAGATTAAGATTCAATATATTATGTGTCATAAAAACATCCTCTCTGAGTTTTCTAAAACGCTGAACTGTACCACTCATAGATTTACAGAATAGTGATGTTTTAGTGACACAGGACCATTTACTTTAAAAATATTTACTTCATAGCAGAAGTTTGACAGATTTTAAAAGCAATACAGTGCTCAAATAACTTCAGAGGCTGAGAATACATGGCTGCTGTTGAACTATAGGCCTTAGTCACCAAAAAGAAGCTCCTAACAACTATATAGACCTCAAACAAAACTCAGCTGCTTTGATACTAAAAACATGATTTTTAATGTAATAATACTCCAATTAAAAAGTTTCAAGCTTGAAGAGGTTAGCATGGCTGGATGTTCTGAGAGAGTAATAATAAAAAAAATCATGTAACTTTTCACCATTTGGACATAAATTTAAAGCTGTTTTGAAAAAAAGGAGAAATATTAAGTAGAAAAATAACCCCTGTGTAAAACGACAGTCAACACAGGGAAACACTGCTCCGGGTGTGTGTTCACGGTGTGTGTGTGTTTGCTGTGTGTGTGCACTTTGGATGGGTTAAATGCAGAGCACTAATTCTGAGTATGGGTCACCATACTTGGCCACATGTCACGTCACTTTTTTCACACTTCACTTTAAAAAAACAGACAAGATTTTTTTTAAATCTTTTATTTGTATTTCATCCATTCAGTTGCTGTTCTAAACCTTTTCATTGTGTTATGACATTAGCGTCTCTTCTGTTATACACTTCCTTTTTCTCAAGAACATTATTGGTCTTGATTTATTTTGACCACTAGGTGGTACTGTCCTAAAATTGCTTAAGTTCCCTCAGGGTATGATAGTAATGTTAGTTGCCAAGTTATGTTTGGGTAGGCCAATGCATTGCATTGCATATCTCATAATTATTTGTGCACAAAGCAATCAACAAGTGTTTTATATAGCCTACTTTTTTTTTAATTAACAAATTACATCATATTTGAGAAATGAATCACAGCATTTGGAAGGATTGATGATTATGGTTGCAAAGCATTTAAGCAATAGGATGACATATAATTATATATATATATAAAGTGTATATTATGCCCCTGATTATACATACAGTCTAAAAAATGCTGGGTTGTTTCAACCCAACTTTGGGTCAAATATGGACTAACCCAACTGTTGGGTTAAATTTTTACATTAAATTTTTAACTCAAAAGTTGGGTTAGTCCATATTTGACCCAGAGTTGGGTTGAAACAACCCAGCATTTTTTAGAGTTTACATTCCACCTTCAGGCCTTCAGGTAATACTTGCAAAACAAATAAATAAATAAAATAGGCTGCTTGCAGGTTCTTGACACACGTTTTAAATTTTATAAAGTAACCAGCTAAGCCAAACTCTTTTTTTTGTTTGATTTTGTGGCTAATGAGAAGCTCAATATAGTGAATGTATAGTAACTCATCATTAGGCTATCAAACAGCACATAGCTAAACTCAGCTGAACTTGTGACATGTTATCCGTGGCCAGATGCAATGGTATTCCTTTTTCTCTTTAAATTGCTTTTTGATTCAATTCTGCTAAAAACTAAAGTTGAATTTGTGATGGATTAGCAGACCTGTGATGCATAGACTCTAGAATAGCGGCTCTATTTTTGCTTTAGTGCGAAAACAGTTCAGTTGTGATCCTCCATGGATGGGTGTGAGACAGGTTGTTCACATTCACATTCATTTTGGTTTATTCTCATCATTTACACAAGCAAACTGATTTAGTCACATCTTTTGTGTCATTATTTTGTGTGTTTTTCTTCACCAACACACCGCACTCCATCAAGTAACATTGGTGTCCCGTGGTGGCGATCTGTGAAAAACAATAGGTCGTTTCTTATTTTAGTGGTGGTGATTTACTATTTACAAATTAGTTCTCTCTTAATGTTACTTAACAATTCTAACCCTCAAATTGAGCACATTTTGGCTTTGTTTTTGTATCTTACTACAAAATAAGAGGAGTATAAGTACTAAATCAACTAATAAAAGCTCTTATGTCATTTACACAGTGTTTCTATTATTACAAATTCTGGTATTGTTTCTCAAGCTGGCTAGAAGGTTTAGAGATGTGGCTTATATTTTAATTTGGAGGGATACTCCACCCAAAAATGAAAAATCTCTCATCATTTACTCACCCTCATGCCGTTCCATATATATTTTAATTTCTTGCTTCACATGAACACAAAATTAGATTTTTTCAAAAATTAAAATTAATAAAGTGGATAGATCCCTTAAAATGACGCTTCACAAACCACACAAACGAACATAATTGTAATCCAAAGTTGAATCAATGTCTTTTGTAACAAAACAGTAGGTGTGTGTAAGAAAAAAATATTTTAAACTTTTTAAACTAAAAACCATTGCTTGCAGCCAACTGTGAACATCAGCGTATAACAGCACTTTGAGAAACTGAAGTGACAGTCCAGAAAATGACATTTTTGTCAAGCGAACACACATATGAGAGCTGGCTGGTTTATAGTTTACAATATTAGAATTTTTCTCACACACACACACACACACACCAATAGTTTGCTTCAGAAGACACCGATTCATCAACTGGAGGTTGTATGGATTACTGCCATGTTCATTTTGCATGGTTTTTGAAGCATTCTTTTGAGAGATCTATCCACTTGCATTATATGGACTCACAGAGATGGATTATTCTGCTAAAAATCTCAGTTTGTGTTCATCTAAAAAACAAAGTCATATTAATCTGGGACAGATTGGGGATGCATAAATGAAGAGAAAATTTTCATTCTTCGGTGGACTATTCCTTTAATTTCATTTTTAAAAATACTTTCTCCCATCCCAGCTTAATATTTTCTGTAAAACTGCTTTGAAACAACTGAACTGAACTGAATCAGTGACAGCAGAGACAGCTATACTGGTCCACATGATGGACAAACATCACCTCATGAACGCTTTGTTATGAATGACTAGAGAGCTGTCACCAGTTGGTGTGTGTATCTCACCCATGACTCTGGCCTGTAATCGAACTCGGACGCTGCTGTCCCTTCTGCTCCTGTTGACCAGGGTGAGTTCCTCTTGCACCACTCCCTCCTGCTGAGCGCTGTACTCACAAAGCACCCTCGCTCCCCCTTAAAAGAGCACAGACAGATGAATGGGAGTGAGTGGGATGAATACAGATACAGAGGGATACCAAGACAACACAAAATGTCATGGACAATAAAAAGATGGGTAAAAGAAAACGCCTGAGTTCCAATCAAATAAGATTGGAAGATTGAAATCATCGTAGAAAAACAATCACCTTACTGCAAAGTGCTTGCAGCTTCTTTTAGAATATAAATTGTACACTCAGATACAGCAAACTTACTAAGATTTCCCTAGAGATTCAAATGTGGGAAAAATGACACTACTATAAACGCGCTAAGTGAGTTTCAGCTAATGGAGAGATCAATGCCGGGCTGAAATAGGAGTGTGACTATTGATCCTAACATGACGTCTTGCATTTGGCTTGATGTTTTATCAGCAGTCAGATGTACAAACAATCTTAGATCCACATTAACTGCTCTGTTAGCGCTTATGTTTTTACAGCCTTGTTTAATTGTATTAATTGTTACTGCTTAGTGTTAGCTACATGTATCTAGTTTTCTAAACTTTCTCATCATTCATTGAGTCAAGGAAGCCACATGTTTATAGATCTGGGCTGTTTTCTCAAAGGTTTCTTGCTCAATCCCAAGCAAGACTGAGATGGTTTCTCGGTCACGGGTATTGTTCATTAACCTTGTGCTCCGGAGCAGAGCACTTAACCCAGGTTGCTCCAGTGAGACTCTCCTTGTAATAAGTCTACTGTAAGTAGCTTCAGCTGAAAAGCATCTGTTTAACTGCTGAACACCTCTTAATAGGGTGTATGTGAATAAATGAGAACACAAGGGTTGTAAGCAGACTTTGATAAGTGACATAGAAGACTATATGCATGGTAAAAGTTGGTCTAATTGTGCGTTCAAGTCCTCCTGGGAAATTGATATTTATGAGTTGGGAAGTCGTAATTACAATGTCAGGGGCGTTCAAATAACTTTGGTCGGAACAAGATGCCGATGTACCTTTTCTGCATAAAATTCAGTAGGATGTTTCTTGTTTTAAATAATTTTAAATAGTTTTTAATGTTTTATTCAATTTATGAAGGTCCTGTAAATTGAATCGCTATATATTCTATCGTAACTGCAAAATATACTATGGTGTTTTGTATATGTACGTTTATATTATTTTGATGACATTTTGGAAAATAAAGTGTTCTTCATAAATGCTAGTTAGTCTATAAAATATAAAGAAATAACTATAAATACATCTGTAGGTTGCAATTCAAAAAATGGTTAGAAATATAATCTAATGTTTTTACCAAATGCATCTATGATAACATGTTTATGGGTAATTTTTGTATTTTCTATGCATTTTTAACATTCAAACATATTTAATAATATATTTATAAATATCAATTATATATATATATATATATGTATGGTATTTTGTATGGAAATGTAATAATTCATTTTCATTTAAAATAAGTTTCATGTTCAAATTTCACATGCGTTCAACTAAATACGATCTTTCCAACTTTACTTATAAACACCGTAAGACCAATGCAAAAACATACCATCAGGACGTGGTGTGATGCGTGTTGCACGTAGTCGTGGTTTTGCAGTAGTGCGTAGTGCGGGGGAAAGAGAGACATCTTTCCCTAGTGTTGGGACTTGTGGCAAAGAAAAGATGATTTCATATTTGTGATGGCTCCTTAAAAATCCCACCTAGATACAGAGTTCCGGTGTCAATGATTTCAGCATGCAACACATCTATCTTATATACTGTTTGTTTTTAAGCATTTTTTTTTAAAGCGATTTCTTTCACCTTAACAAGATATGCGCCATCAGGCTCTGGTAGAGCAGTGATGACTTTATCCTGAAGCTTTTCATCACAGCTATTGTTAATGGGAGCGTCTTCATCATCATCGGGGAAATGTACTCCACCTTTTGAAGTGGAGCCTGGCGAAGAGAAAACAAGGGTGGAGTTAAGATCACAGAGATGGATACTGGACCAGAAGATACATGCTGAGATGATTAATGCAGGCTGAACCCAGTGTGGGAGAGCTGTTAGAATATACACACTCTGGAAGTGTTAAGAGACAACGAGAAAGCATAAATGTATAAATATATAAAGCACATTATGTAAAAAATGTATACACACGCATATTCAGATAGACATTATGAGCACAGAAAAGACACTGACTTTTCCTTCCTGTTGCCATGTCAACATAAGGCCAGGGAAATCCAGGGATGATGACTGGCGTCAAGTTGAGATCATCTTTAAATAACAGACACTGAGTCAGAGAGAATGACCGCTGCAGAAGAACAGAAGATGCCTGTGAGTTATGTAATCTATGATCAGTTTGTAATGTCCTATACTGTCCTATTCCCTGATATATAGAATAATGTTTTAGACAGTATATAAAGAGATTTAAATTGCATGCAGGTTATTTCCCCAACTTCTAAATAATTAATTGTCCATCCCCTGAGAATGATTTGCATTTCATTGACTTTGCAGCATACTCCCTGCTGGGTTAAACGCCACAGGATGGAGGTCCCCCACAACTGTAATGCTTTATTATCATCATTAGTTCGCAGTAATAACTGAGGTTAAAATGGCGAATCATCTGAGTAAGCATTCATGAGGCCTGTTATTAGGGCAAAACTCCATTCAGATGTTCCCTTATTTGCCCTCAAGTCAGTATTAGACTTTATACTGACATCATTCGGCATCGGTGTATGAATTGTGTTTGCTGCTGATGTTTCATACTGAAACTGATTAAGTTCGTATTAAGTTTACTCGTTTTCAGTTATGTTTTTCTTTGCCTCATATTACACATATCCATATAATGGACATACTTGAATTCAGGCCCAACAGTAAGCTGCATGGAAGAAAAGGTATATAAAAAATGTAACATAACATAAAAGGTATATAAAGTAAACACACTATTATTATTTTTATTATTATTTAAGCAACAATTGCAAAATGCTGGTCATGCGATCTCAACATGGCCGCGCCCATAACACGTAAAATGAAATCGATTTTTGTCCTAGACATGTTGCGCCGCTATGGTTTTTGGGCCCCCTGAACAGCATATTGACTCGGACTCAGGTTGGTGGATTGGTAGGGTCCCCCTCAGTAAAAATCGCGTTCCGGGCCCCCTCTCTCTCATCGGGCCCTTGGAATCGTCCTAACCTTTCCCCCGTTAAGGTGCCCCTGGTACTAGAAAACATCATTTTAATATTTCTCAAAACAGCTGTTAATTTCTTTAAGCCTTTACACTTTTTAATACTGTGTGCACCTTTAATTAAATAGCAGTTGACAAAATTGTTTTGGCAAATGATTGAATGAATCCTCCAAATTGCCAATTCCTAAGTAATATGTGCCATATGTAATCACATATGTGCACACTGTAATCTTTGTTTTTTTGTACTATAAATTATGTAGCTACTTATGTGTAGAACTCTATGTACAAACCTGCAGAGAAGTAAACCTGTCCCTGATTTTTCCCTCCCTGTAGATTTATTTGTAGATCATGCACGCAGATGGGACTCCAGACACTAACCAGCAATTTCACATGAAAATCTTTGACTTTAATCGGGGTCATTACGCCAGTTCAGTCAAGGTTATTTCAGAGAATGACACTCACATTCAAACTAAAGCGGCTTATAATACCGCGCTCTTCCCGACTGACTTGTTCTCAGCCTTTCTTCCAAAGCGCCCCTGCAAAATCACGTCAAATATGACGATAAGAAAAAAAGCGGCTTATGCAACAATAATCGCTGAGATGGGCGATGCAAGTTATAGAGATGTCTATAACAGATACATTATTACAGGCGGTCCCCGAGGAGTCCGCCTTTGCCGGATAAACAAAACCTTAGAGGGCAGTGCATCTCGAAGGCATCTCTCGTTCATCATTTATTAAAGTACAGCATGTTGTGCTCTGTGTAAAAATGGGACACCACTGAGCGTCGCGTGCCAGTGTAACGTTTGGCACCACTGACAGAAAAAAAACTGCTGGATATTAAAAGAGTAAGTGGTTCAGCCAAAAATACGTAGCCTTCATTTTGTATAATAATCATACCTCATGTTAAACGTTTGTCGTCTAATAGACAGAATTATAAATACATCTAAGGGAAAATGTCTTCTGAAGATTGCAATGCAGTTCATGCAGAACTATTTATTAACAGACTTTTGACAGAATTGTAGGCTTCTATTAATAGCTCCCACTTAAGAGAAAAATGAATTTTTGAAGTGAGGGTATTTTTAAAATTGTGTGCACACAGACTATACACATATAGTTGAATATCAAAATAATTTTAATCTTAAATTCACTGAAAATCAAACTTACCTGTCTTGCGTGTACTGTACAGAAGCAGGTTTGTGGCGTTGCCTGAAGGACTGTGCCATCAGACCCCTCGAACGCAGCGTGTAGCGTGCAGCAGAGGTCTGACGCTGCGCGCGGTCACACGAAAAGAGCCGCAGCCATTGGCTACTGATGGTTACTTAACGTCTAGCTCTCTTTTTCTACATCTCCCTCATTATACAGATGCATCTCAATAAATTAGAATGTCGTGGAAAAGTTCATTTATTTCAGTAATTCAACTCAAATTGTGAAACTCGTGTATTAAATAATTTCCACGACATTCTAATTTATTGAGATGCACCTGTATACAGTATACACGCAATGTGGAGGCAAGAGGTCCGGACCAGTGCCCCAGCAGAGCCCCTGACTATCATAGGCTTCGAGCTGAGCTGAGCTAAGGACCACAGTGGCCTCACCCAGCACTGCAAATGTAAAACTGATATAGCCTAGAGATGAACAGTTCTTGAATGGATATATTAATAGAATGAAATGCAATAAATGGTCAACTTGAAATCAAAGATGCAATAAGCTGCTTTGATGAGAATGCAAGATATCACACTGCAAACATACATCAATTACATTTTTTTTAAGCCAACAGAGAAGTTGCAGGTGTTTAATAAAAAGTTGCTTCTAAAAATAAGAATTTTGAAACATAAAGTCGCAATTATGACGAAAGGCAAAATTACACACACACGCACACACACACACACATTTATTATTAGTCACAATTGCATAACTTAAAGCCACAGTTACTCCCTAATTTGCTGTACTGTACATTCTTGGTTTGTCTTGTTAGGACCATAATCCCATATGGACTATAGAGATTCAGAGAGTAAAGACAACATAGAAATAGAAGAGATGTAGTCGCCTATATATTGTATAATTAATTTTTTGCTTTACTATAATGTACAAAACACATATTTGAATATTATACATTTTGCGTATAATACATGCTTGGTCAAGCTAAATACTAATGGGTTATTTTACAATCAGATTTCCATCACCATCCAATGTTGTATTCAGTGTCCCAAATTTCAATTTCAAGCCTTGGCAATCATTTGCGGTTCATAAGTCTTATTATTGTTTTAGGTATATCAAAAAATCTATAAGGATTAACTGTTTAATGTTTTGTTGAATATATATATATAAAATCATTAAGCCACTGAAATGATCACATGGATTGTAAATGAAAACCATATTAATTTTCATCATTTTGAATTAAATAATAAAGTAAACAAACTCTATGAGCAATATATTTGTTCTTTCATTTTTCAGTCAGCCAGCTTGGGTTAGCTGGATAGGCAGGATATATGATAAGGGGAGCCTCATTTTTGCCAGATTTGTTGGTGCATGGGCTGAAAAAAGGATATAAAGTCTCTGCAAAGGAGTCTGTGAAAGTAAATATCAGTGACTTTGTATCTGCATTATAAAAGGACAATTGACCTTTTTCATAGTCCACATACACGCCGACACACTGTGGTTTTGTTTGTACGACTATAGGCATTGATGGTTCTGTACGAAAGACATACTCATGCTTGTCACGTAGACTTAGAAACCAAAATCCATTAGCTGGGTTTGCGGCTATTTTTCCTTTCCTGTTGATGGAGTGACTAGCAATGCCCAAATCCCAGTCCGTCTTCTCACCCACCACAACCTCCCAGTAATGGCAGCCAGAGCTGATACCTTGGCGGCCAAGTACACACACCACACGGTCAAACCGTTCAGTTGTGTCTGGCACCACCTGGTAGCGGTCACTGCAGTGCACCTGTTTACCATCCTCAGAGATGATCAGACGCGGATGGGCTGAGTCTTGATCTAGGGTCACGTCCACTGAGGAGAGAAACAGAACACATTTGAAAAGCTATAAGGTGTTTGAAGGAATACAAATGTAAGTGATGACAAACATGTGATGTATCTAATGATGTGCAGCATATAGAAAACATCTCATACTTGCATATTCCTCCACTCTCCACACTTCTACAGAGGAACGCAGAAGAAAAATATTACTTTTAAAAAATGAAGCGGCTTTGTATAACAATTAGTACAATTAATCACTCCAATCATATACACAACCAGTCAAAAGGTTGGAGTGTTAAACAGCAAAAACTAATTTATTATTAATTAATTTAGTTATAATGATAAGAACCATTATTAATATTTGAGCATCAAATCATCATATTAGAATGATTTCTGAAGGATCATGTTATACTGAAGATGGGAGTAATGGCTAAATAAATGGATAAATCATATTTATCATATAAATCATATATTTTAAGCTTTTTATTTTAAGATCATTTAAAATTATTTTAATAATCCCATATGGACTATAGAGATTCAGAGAGTAAAGACAACATAGAAATAGAAGAGATGTAGTCGCCTATATATTGTATAATTAATTTTTTGCTTTACTATAATGTACAAAACACATATTTGAATATTATACATTTTGCGTATAATACATGCTTGGTCAAGCTAAATACTAATGGGTTATTTTACAATCAGATTTCCATCACCATCCAATGTTGTATTCAGTGTCCCAAATTTCAATTTCAAGCCTTGGCAATCATTTGCGGTTCATAAGTCTTATTATTGTTTTAGGTATATCAAAAAATCTATAAGGATTAACTGTTTAATGTTTTGTTGAATATATATATATAAAATCATTAAGCCACTGAAATGATCACATGGATTGTAAATGAAAACCATATTAATTTTCATCATTTTGAATTAAATAATAAAGTAAACAAACTCTATGAGCAATATATTTGTTCTTTCATTTTTCAGTCAGCCAGCTTGGGTTAGCTGGATAGGCAGGATATATGATAAGGGGAGCCTCATTTTTGCCAGATTTGTTGGTGCATGGGCTGAAAAAAGGATATAAAGTCTCTGCAAAGGAGTCTGTGAAAGTAAATATCAGTGACTTTGTATCTGCATTATAAAAGGACAATTGACCTTTTTCATAGTCCACATACACGCCGACACACTGTGGTTTTGTTTGTACGACTATAGGCATTGATGGTTCTGTACGAAAGACATACTCATGCTTGTCACGTAGACTTAGAAACCAAAATCCATTAGCTGGGTTTGCGGCTATTTTTCCTTTCCTGTTGATGGAGTGACTAGCAATGCCCAAATCCCAGTCCGTCTTCTCACCCACCACAACCTCCCAGTAATGGCAGCCAGAGCTGATACCTTGGCGGCCAAGTACACACACCACACGGTCAAACCGTTCAGTTGTGTCTGGCACCACCTGGTAGCGGTCACTGCAGTGCACCTGTTTACCATCCTCAGAGATGATCAGACGCGGATGGGCTGAGTCTTGATCTAGGGTCACGTCCACTGAGGAGAGAAACAGAACACATTTGAAAAGCTATAAGGTGTTTGAAGGAATACAAATGTAAGTGATGACAAACATGTGATGTATCTAATGATGTGCAGCATATAGAAAACATCTCATACTTGCATATTCCTCCACTCTCCACACTTCTACAGAGGAATGCAGAAGAAAAATATTACTTTTAAAAAATGAAGCGGCTTTGTATAACAATTAGTACAATTAATCACTCCAATCATATACACAACCAGTCAAAAGGTTGGAGTGTTAAACAGCAAAAACTAATTTATTATTAATTAATTTAGTTATAATGATAAGAACCATTATTAATATTTGAGCATCAAATCATCATATTAGAATGATTTCTGAAGGATCATGTTATACTGAAGATGGGAGTAATGGCTAAATAAATGGATAAATCATATTTATCATATAAATCATATATTTTAAGCTTTTTATTTTAAGATCATTTAAAATTATTTTAAAATGTAATATATACAGTTTGTAATATATAAAACAACATCAGAGTTTTTGCTGTATTGTTCATCAAATAAATTAATACAGCCTTTGTGAGCATAAGAGACTTCTTTCAAAAACATGGGGAAAAAAAATCTCAATTATTCCACACTTTTGAATGGTAGTGTGTGTTGTTATAATATATATCAAGATATATGAAAACAGACACTTTTTCAAAACTCAAGATTTTTTAAAAACCTTCAGAATTTATTCTACTCTTGCATAAGACATAGTGCATTTGCACTTAATTTGTCATTTACAAATAATTTGACATGCAAGCCAATAATATTCATAGTCAATAATGCCTTTAAAGTTTAAATTATAAGATAAGTATTGAATCTGGCTTTGAAAAGTGGACTATAACAGAGAAAATGACGTTCTCTGTAGTGACCTTTATTTGTATAGCGCCTTACACAATATTGATTGGCATTAAAATTTTGTGCAATTTTTATGATTTAGCCCCTAGCACTGAAAACTGTGAGGGGAAGCTGAGATTGGACTGGACAGGGGAAAAGGAGGAGAAAAAACTTACTTTGTTGATATATTTCCTGTGGGTTTCCTGTGGAAGGGCGCAAACCTGACAGTACAACAATACATACCGTAAACATGACTGAAAAAAACAGTGATGTGTGCATGCAAAGATCAAAATTCTGGTCTTAAAAACTCCTTGATTTTAAACAAATAATAATATGGTTGGTGAGGTGAAGCATCTGAAGTGCTCCTGAGTCAAAGATGTCATCATTCTGTTCACATTAACAATATTCAAACCATATTCATTCGAAAGAATATACGAAAAAGAAAATTCTGTTTTTATTTACTTTCCAGTCAACAGGAAAAAGTCACATGGGTTTGGAACTGCAATGAGAGTGTATGTAAATTATGTGTTAAAGAGCAGTTTATGAAGGAACTTTCTCTTACAGATCGCTGACAGTCTCCTCAAGGCTTCCTGAACCTCCTCCACCATTTGAGTGACATTTCTCAGCACTGCTCCAGCAGTGGGGTCAGGGGTCATGGCCACTTCTTCCCAGCTCTTTGTCACAGGTAAACTACAGTAGGCTGGATATGTCTGAAAAGAAACATCAGTAATATATATTTTGGTTAGATATTGGGGTATAAAATACAAAACAAACAATTTAAGTCTGGTTTTAAATGAGACCTTGAAGAAGGAAACATGATCTTGGGACTGCGTCAGCTGATTGAGGGAGCTGCATCTATTTCTGATTTCAGAGATCTCCGTCTGCAGCTCACGTATGAAGGCCTGAGAGCGAAGTTCTGCAGCCCGCTGTCCCATCTCCACCACCTCCAGAAGTTCAGCTTGGGACTTCTCAACAGCTTTCATTAACTCAGCAAACATACTCACAGTACCTGCTTTCTCTTGCTCTGCATTCACCTTAGAACAAGCAAATGAGACAAAGAAAATATAACAGACAAATGAGGAAACCCTCATGTCTTTTCAAACCCATATGACATTCTTCTATGGAACAAGAATATTCACAAACATCTTTTCCATGCAGCAACAGTTCTCTGGATCTTGACAGTTACGTCTCTAATGATGAAAAACACCATAAAAGCAGCCAATATGGCCTTTGGTCTTCGTGTAAAGAGCAGAACTGAATTTAAGTCATTACTCGCTGAAAATATTTGTGAATTTTGGTCTTCAGAAGACTAAATGTGCCATCACTTGCTCAGAGAATTTTCGCAGGCAAAATGCAGTCATTTCAATGGGAATCCACATGCTTTGGACATAATTCACGCATGAGGACATAAGATTTCCCTAAGCAGATTTTGCAACAAGTTTGGGATTCGCCACATTGACCATCAGACAGCTGATTTGTTTGATAGTGACTTCTGTGTGAGCTGTGCTTTTTCAGACATCACTACTTCTAAGGGATAGTGGGATAGTTCACACAAAAAAATAATAATTCTGTCATCATTTACTCACCCTCATGTTGTTCTAAACCTGTTGTTCTTCTGTTGAACACAAAAGAGGATATTTTGAAGAATGTTGGTAACCAAACAGGTGACAATAGCCATTGACTTCCATAGTCAATGGCTATTGTCAACTGTAAGTCAATGGCTATTGTCACCTGTTTGGTTACCAACATTCTTCAAAATATCTTCTTTTGTGTTCAACAGAGTAAATAATGGGTAAATGACGACAGAATTATTTGGGCGAACTATTCCTTAATATGACAGAACCTTTAGAATATACAAGACTACTTTTATGGTGTGTGTGTGTGTGTGTGTGTGTGTGTGTGTTTTCCCATTTGTAGAGCTTAACAGATGTAGTCACTATGGGCAACCACTGTATAAAAATAGCCATATGAAGATCCTTCAAAAATTCTTCAGAAATTCTCCTTTTTGTGTTCCATATTTTGCTGTTCCAAAATAACAGCATATGGGTTTGGAACAACATGAAAATGAGTAAATAATGACAAAATTTTTATTTTGGGTGAACTATAAACCCAATCTCACAGGAAAACATGGTGATTTTGTATGCATTCATATGATGTGAATCACATGAAACATACAATTTTTTTAAACTAAGCATTAAGATCCAGCCCTAAACATAATCATCACTGGGGTTTAAGCAGATCATATGAAAACATACAAATGAGATTCATACAAATTTTACGAATTCATACAAATTAGCCACCAATTCACCAAAACGTAAAATAGTTAGGAATAGCCATGTGAGTGTGTTGGAACTATTCCTTTAAAATGTTAGTATGGCATAGATGCACATACTTGAATTTCTGCAAGTGATGTCTGGATCTCCTCTATCTTCCTCTCTCTGACTGTGATCAATCCTTGTAGCTCCACCTCCAAGATACGCAGCTGGGACTGAGCAGAGATTCAAATTGTTAACATGGACCCATACACAAATAAACACTTTCATTCAGCCCTACCTTGATATAACTTCTCATTCACGTACATTCTCACACTAACCTTCTTAATATTCATCTCTCTCTTGGCCTCTATCACAGAATGCCCGTAATGTTCCCTCTCTGCACATGTTACGCAAATACATGTCTGGTCAGTCTTGCAGAACAGCTCCAAACTATGCCCATGTCTGGGACACTGTGGCCCATTGGAACCTGCTCCACTCACACTAAAGTTT